GTATTCAAGAAGAAGGTTATACTACGTATCGTTTTCTGTATTATTTGTGATTTCTTTAAATTCGTTGGCGTCTACAGTATTTTTCGCCTCATGTTTGCAGCAAATTACCATAATTGAACATTCCAGTAGCCTGTGATACAAAATACCTTAGCATGAATACACATTTTCAACCAACAGTTACAGTTATGTAGTATTTCAGGTTTCCATGGGAGGACTAGTTTACTTGAGTGGTATTATAATGATTTGTGCTGTGATCATGAAACAATAAAGAAATGACAATATCAATGAGCTCGGTCAACCACTTGATCTCAAGCAAAACCTTCCCATCAGGAATCGAACGCGCGACTTATCAATTACTGGTTGCGTGCTCTACCTCTGAGCTATCGCGCAGACCGTCGCGCAACCTCGCCCGACTGGTTGTTTTGAGTTTGCAATAAGTTGGCATGTCGCAGGTTCAATCCAGCTTGAGAGGGAAAGTTTCAGACGAAACTGAATGGTGTACCAATGTCATTGATGCCACCGGATCTGAGCCAAGCTATCATTTGGTTTGTATCTTATTCTGCATTCATGAAATGACCACAGTCATAATAATCCACCAAAAAATAAGAATTCAAAAACGAGCACTTGGCGAACGAGGATGTGAACACTCGCAGAAAACTGGACAGCGATCGCAAGCAAGCGAGAAACTAAACGCAGTACAGTCATCACCAGCGTAGATTGACTGCGACCTGTTATAGCAAAAGTGAATGAAGGAGCAAAATAAGCTGGAATCTAACCGAAATTAGAAAAGCCGAATTTGAATGGGCAATAACTGATCGGTAGTAAGTGAGGCGTTGATAGGGAATAGTTTGCAACTGAACTTTATCGGTCGTAAACCTACTGGAATATTTTCGATTAACACTGATTCGATTTTTTTCTAAAATTGTTTCACATTCTAATGCAACTCGAACGTAGTCATTTGTTATTCCTAACCTAATGTTTATGTTCATCACGTTTTCTTTCCATTGATTACATTCATTATTACTCATTTCCTCATTTCAATAGGTTACCTGTTCCACACACCAGTAATCTTATATATTAGGTGATTTGATCTTGCAATATTACTGTTTGGTGTCGCTGATTATATTTGTTGACAGTGCTGATATTATACTAAAAATTTATCAAATTACAATTCTGTAGGAACTTGAAGCACCGTATCAGCTCGAAGTTCTGTACCATCTATGAAAAGAAGGCACCTATAAAAAGTCATATGCACTCTCGTGAATTACATATTATTCAGTTCGAATTGAATCATGAAACTGTGCTGAACGACTTCTGAGAATGGAATGTTGTTGATTGAAAGAAAATGAATAAAAGGTTAATGAACAATGCATATGAATCGACGTTACACTTTCCATCTGCTGTTCATCGTCATACTACTTACTAACATTTATCTGTTATATGTGTCAACTGATATTTTATTCTTTACTTTAAAAAATGGATCGTTTGATTGATTGATTACGTATATACGCACACAACTGAATTATTTCTTTTTGGTGTTTGATTCTACTCGTTGTTTTCGAATGAGTTTACCCATGTTTTCAGGTTTATACCTCAGTCAGTTTGCAGTATTGTCTTTTATCAATTATCACTCATCTATTTGCACTTTTCATCTGTTACATTAAACTCATTAACAAATCTCATTATGGTATGATAATCAGGTACAAGGCAAATCATAGCCCGGCTCAAGCTCGGCAACATTAACGAGATTGGTTCACCACTCGGTTTGGAACAAAACCTTCTTTCGCAAGGGAAAGTTTTGCCCAAAATCGGATGGTGAACCAATATCATTGATATTATGATATGAATACATTTTTATCAAACGAAAAAAAAACAATTGAAATTCAGTTGGTAATTTTACCGAGATGCTGTTCGATTCCTTTAAAGTTCTATTTCGAGTTAATCGTCATCCAGTCACTCATCATAATGATGCAAGCAATACTCAAAAAGAAACGGTCGCAGATGAAATTGATTTGAAGTCATTCAGTAATGGAATAATGGCAGTCAATTGTATGTTATCTCACTAAGCATTCATAGTTAATATCATTAATTTTATCACTTTTTATAATATATTTTCGTTCATCACATTATCATCACTCTTAAATATTCAATAACGATAATCATTTGAAATTAATTCAATTATAATATCCAATTTGTGACTTATTATATTGATGAGCAACTGAACTCGGAAGAGGTATGAGAAAATGTTCGTAATTAATGCGAAAAGTTTGAGGGAGACGTGCGAAGATGATGAGATTGCTCCTGGAGGACGGCACTGTTTTGATTGCTATTGGATTTACAGTCGCACTGTTGTCACTTGCGATGGAAACTTGCATTATTGAACTTCAGAATTGTGCGTGCGTTCATTTTCAATTGAACATTCGTTTGTCTGGTTGTAATTCGGTATTTGTTGATATGGAAGAGTACAGATTTCTGAAGAAATGTTGTAATAGATTGTGTGAAGGGAGGATATGATGTGAAGGGATATGGTTATATTTGTGCGTTTTATAAAGAGGTGATTGAGAAAAATTTTGTTGAGTTGTTTCTTAGTGATACCACTATTGAATGAATTCAGTGCGAAAGGATCTGATGGAATGGGTCGAGAGTGAAGCGCTCAAGATTCATCATGTGAATGCCAATCTACTCGATAACTGCGCCTGGACGGCTTACACCACTCTACTCATCCTTCTTGCTGCTATTTCTACTAATCTTATTGCACCACAAGCTATTGGTTCATGTTTTCATCTGTTATTATCATTCTTGTTTTATACTTATTCATAATCGTGATCATTACTGAGCAGGCTCTGGAATTCCTGAAATGACAACAATTTTACGAGGTGTAATGATGAACGAATATCTTTCAATGAGGACATTGATCGCAAAAATGCTCGGTCTAACACTGGCCATTGGTAGTGGTTTACCGATTGGTAAAGAGGTGAGTGGATGGAGTTGAGATGATTCGGTGGATGCGATGAGTGTGCAAAAGCTGATCATATGTAATCAAGGGTCCATTCGCACATATTGGTTCAATAGTGGCCAGCCAGATGAGTCGATGGATCAAGGGTATGAAGATGCATTCAGTGCTGTTTGCAAATGAATCGCACACCTCTGAGATGTTAGCTGCAGGTTGTGCTGTTGGTGTGGCGTGTACCTTCAGTGCTCCTGTAGGTGGTAAGTGCACTGATTATTGCATATCGTTTTTTGTTTGCTATTCCTCATTGTTCACGTATCCTTGCAGGTGTATTATTCTCAATCGAAGTGACTGCTGTTTATTTCGCAGTACGTAATTACTGGCGTGGCTTTTTTGCAGCAGCTTGTAGCTCGATCTTTTTTGCTTTATTACGTCTTTACACACAGTCGTCTGAAGGTTAAACCCATTCAAATCTATTAGCAATTCAATGTTCATTGTTGCTTTCTGCTCAGATTCGTTCCTTCACTTTTTTGCCGAAGACCATTTGTATTGCACATTGCAATGAATATAATGCAACGTATCTTCAAGAGTATCGTCAGTACTACTAAATTACAGTGACAGTAGTTGCCTTCTATCAAACGGCTTTCAAACATCGTTCGTTTATGCCCGAGGAATTACTCTTTTTTGCTTTGATCGGGTAAGTGTCCATGAATGTGTTTGGTTTTGAATGTTTCTGAGGGATGTGATATAGCTATAGATATTATAATGAATGTACTTCGATAGATAGCTAAATCGCTACCTGTGCATTAGTTTATTGTCTTATCAAATTTAGTAACTGTGGAAAATAAAGAAGTAATGTGTTATCGTTATGAATTTAATTTGCAGACTTTTTTGTGGTATAACCGGAGCGTTATTCATTTTGATACATCGACGATTGGTGCTTTTTGTTCGTGGAACTGCACTATTGAAACTGTTATTTCTGGACAAGTTGGTTATTGCTTATTTCTTATATGTTTTATGTGATTGCTGGTCAGATGAAATCAAAAGTAGTCTGTAATTAAACTGGTGAATGCACCCTTTTTTATCATATTAATCGCTTGTCACCACCTCTTTAATAGGGATCACTGATTTTTGTATCGTTTCAGTTACATTCTCTATCCAGTGTTTGTTTCTGTGCTACATTCGTCACTCAGATATTCAAAACTTTTTGGAAAATTTGTATCTGGACGGGTGCGCTTTATATGAATATATATAAACATTTTTTGTTATATTTTCATTTGTCGTAAATTTTGAATTGTTTTGAGAGTAAATTATGAATGTCTATGAATGGGTGAATTAAGATAATATTCAATCACAAGTTATGGGATTTCTTCGAGAACTGTACATGGAGTGCAGCACGATCATCGCCTTATGCATGCCCCAAAGAACTGCTTGAACGTTGGACTGGCTTCGATGGCGAATACTCTTTATTCATGCAACTCTCTCTGTTCATTATAACTTTCGTGAGTGGTTTCTTATGATCAACATGAACACAGAGAGGCATATGAAGCGTGTTTAAGTATTTCATGTGCATAATCGCCGTAATGCTACCGATTCCGGCTGGTATCTTCATGCCGGTGTTCGTTGTTGGTGCTGCCATCGGTAGACTGGCTGGTGAACTGATCGCGTTCTACTTCCCGAACGGCATTCGAGGCACTTCCACTCAAACACCCATTTATCCGGGCATTTATTCAGTTGTTGGTTCGTTCATTAATAGATTCTGATCAATCATAGATAGGTGATTAGCTTGAAAGGTATTACGAATGCGGATGTTCAAGGTGCAGCTGCATTCTGTGGATCGGTAACACACACCGTTTCGGTTGCGATTATAGCATTCGAAATGACTGGTCAGTTACTGCACATTGTTCCTGTCACGGTCTGTTATTATTTCATTATTACCCGGTATTATCTATCAATATTGTTCTTGCTATTCTTATTATTGTCGTTATTTTTTAAATTATCATTGTTACTGTGTTATCACTGTCAATGTGGATATCGTTTTAAAGAGTTTGCACGCGAATGAATTTGAAACCTCTCAATGGACACTCAGTGAGTATCATTCGATAGGACTAATGATCTGTTTTGTGTTCGTCTTTTAATTTCATATTGATAATAGTTCTACATCAGATGGCAGTTATAATAGCGAATATAGTGGGTTCTGCGTTGCAGCCGTCCTTCTTCGATAGCTTGATACTGCTCAAACGCTTACCTTTCCTTCCTGATATTGCGCAATCCTCATCTGCGTAAGTATTTTCGTTCAGCCAATAAAATTTATTCGTTGTGCCTCTCAGCTGCATAAAAAACGAATACCATGCAGAGTGCATGCGATTCGCATTGAACAAATAATGGTTCGCGATGTGATCTCAGTCAGTAAAACGTCAACTTATGCTCACTTAAAACACGTTATTGATAATTACGGTCATTTATCTGCGTATCCAGTTGTGCTCGATTTTGGTCAGTTTTTATTATT